TGTCATGCTAAACCCAGGTCTTTACGTGACCAAAGGGATCCTTTAGTCTACTCAGTGGGTAACTTCAGCAACATCCCCGACACAACTGTTGTTCAAACTGTACTAGTGGTCCCTTTTATAGAGTCAGACTTTTAGACCCATGTGTTCTCACTCCTGCTTTAATTTAACCCAGTCATGGGATACTAGATATAGAACTGCTACCTACTAGCGGAACAGGGAATCTGTGCAATTGCTGACACTTTTTGCTGCACATAGATAGATACATAAGGTATTGAGACTCAGTTGCAAAAAATGAACAAACCGTACTTGGTTAAAAAGGATAAATTCCCCATCTGGCTCATTCTTTGATCTCTTCGATTTCAGTTGGTTTGGTTCATGGGTCCCTGGCTAAGGGGCATATTCTAAACTCAGTATCATCCTCGGGAGAGTCATGATAGTCTCCCTGTTACACTGGACCCTCTTAAAAAGTCTTAAATGTCCATACGTGGCCATCTGCTGAATGCTAAATGGCCCCTCTCCAGCTGGAATGATCAAAACTCCAAGAAATGCATGATAACGAGGACCCCTTAACCTATAAATGATGTGTTAAGGCCAAAACGATGATGACTGAGCATAGTGCTGATACCCTGTTTTGGTAACATTCGCAGCCAGGTGAGAGCCTGACCAGAAGGGGAGAATTGTTAAATAATATTTATAGTAGGCCATTGGTTGGGACTGAGCTTCTGCACAAGGCCGAAGAGATCAAACCAAGATGGGGTCCCTCAGGCTGAAGTTCCACGCCACCAAGCCAAATCTAAACTGTCGATCTGACCTTCCAGGAAATCAGGAGAGAGAACAGTCAAATCTCAACAAACCAGTTTGAGCCAACAGAAGGAAGTCTCCTCTGCTTTGACCTTTAAAAGGGACTGAAATAACCAATCTGGTTTTTGATCTGTTTCTGCTTTCTTTAGCCTTTTTCTGTCTAAAAAGCCAAACTCCTCTGCTCAGCTCATCAGAATGCTCATTCTGTAAGGCAGAATGTGGTGTTGCCCAATTCTAGAATCACAAATAAAAGCCAGTTAAGATTTCTGAATGTGTTATAATTTTGTCTTTTGACAAGTAACAGGAGATGGAATAGGAAAGGTCCTTATCTGAATTCCATTGTTAAAGCAAAGCTGCATTTAAGCTTTACTGTCAAAGTAATGCAGAGTTGGGTGACAGAGGCTTTTTGAAGTGGCAGATGACTTAAATGCCTAACACCCAAATGATTCAGTAGCATCAGTCTAGCTCTACTACTGGGGAGAAAACATTTTCCTGGTGCAATTATTGCTCTGAACAGAGTAGTTTTTCTACCAACAGAATGAATGGACTAATGGAGAGGGGAAGGGTGGGGAGGCCAGAGAAGCTGGCAGTTGTAAATTCTGGAGTGATGGGTGAGGGGATGCCCTGTGGTGACGGTGTTGTGGGGGTTCTGCTGAGTCCCCACTGGGGGCTCTGTCTGGAGTCAAGGGCAGCGTCCCCTCCCCCACGCACAAGTACAGGGAAGCCTTGCTTGGAGTTTCACCGGTTTGCACTGTGAGCGCCACATGTCTCCTCTGGATCTCTGCTTCCTCGTGGATCCGCGAGGGCCAGGATGAATGATTTCTAACACCCCTTCCAGCTCTGACAACCGTTCAGGTACCAGACAGCAAACAACTTTTTTTTTTTTTTTTTTTTTGAGACGGAGTTTCGCTCTTGTTACCCACGCTGGAGTGCAATGGCGCGATCTCGGCTCACCGCAACCTCCGCCTCCTGGGTTCAGGCAATTCTCCTGCCTCAGCCTCCTGAGTAGCTGGGATTACAGGCATGCGCCACCATGCCCAGCTGATTTTTGTATTTTTAGTAGAGACGGGGTTTCACCGTGTTGACCAGGATGGTCTCGATCTCTTGACCTCGTGATCCACCCGCCTCGGCCTCCCAAAGTGCTGGGATTACAGGCGTGAGCCACCGCGCCCGGCTAGCAAACAACTCTTACCAAGAAACATACAGCCTCCGAGTGTTAAGCGAGTCTGGGCTTCCATTAAGGCAGAGGCACAGATTTACCCAAACCATCAAGAGCAAGTCAGACCTGGGGGTCTAGTGACTAGAACTACCTACCCTCAGCTCTGGACGCTACACCGAAGTCTTCAGAGTTCTCCTGACACAGAGTGAGTTTATGCCATGTCCAGCTAGTCAGCGCTATGCAGACACCACCTCACGCCTTCCTTGTTGCTGACAGCTTCTGGGCAGTGATGTCATGAGATGGACAAAATGCCTTCCCTACCCCTCACACCTGGCTGACACCCCTAGTCTGAGTCAAGGGGAACCACGACACCAGCAGAAGGTTCTACAACTCACACTGTCATTTGGAATCCTGTGAGGCTCAGGCCACTGGCCACCATGAGTGTGCGGTGGGCTCCTCCTACTCTGTCCCCGGCTCTGTGCCAGGAATCACAGGTACAAGGAGCAGATATGGCCTGTGCCCGGGCAGAGAAGGGGGCAAAACCAACACTGCTTACTGTCACTCAAACACACGCCTTATGAACCTCACCTCCATGGCTCAGCACATGCTGTTTTCCCACCTGTAGTATCCTTCCTCCTCCACCCACTTTACCTGCCCAGGCTCCAGAGAGTCAAAAAGATCTGGGGTCGATGACCTCCTCCAGCATCTGTGTAAACCTGGCAAGTTACTTAAGTTACTTACATGTTTAAGAAAAAAGAGGAAGACAATACCCATAGATCAGATATTTTCCCAGGTAAGGACTGTACATACTAATGGCCTGTGAAGGCCCTTAGCAAAGTGCTGGCATAAGGCAAGTGTGTAATAAATAACTACTGGCATAAAGGCCTCTGGTGATCAGAGTAGCCCTCTGTGACTTTCCCTTACCCTGGATTCCTACAAGAAATGGTTGAAACACACGTTTGGCCTTTTTCAAACACAGCTTCTTAACAGTTGCCAATTTTCCTTCTGTGAGTAGCTCATTTCCCAACTGCAATACAAACAGTGCTTTATCACTCAGCAAATATTTGTGAATTGATTAGTCAGTGAATAGCAATGAAGGTCTAAAATGAATACAATCAATTTCCCAAACATATGGTGAGACAACAGGAGCTGCTCTGGAATAGAAAGGGGTGAACCAGATTCTCAGAAACACATGCTCTGCCCCCGGGCAGCAGCTGCCCTAGAGAACCTACTGCCCTAAACATTGAAGAAATGAACCCTCTTCAGTCAGATTAAATGCCTAAAGCCAGCTAAGCATGGCTGCAAAATTCCTCTCTCTCCCTGTGACCTCCACTGTCTCTGTTCCTGCCCTAAGATATAGGTATCCTGAGCAGACAGCATGTGCCATACTCACATGGCCTGGGGTGGGATGACAGCAGCCTCGTGAAAGCCCACAACCAAACTCTCTAAAGAAACCTCAGGACACAGAGATGACGCCTGACCAACCCCAGCTTCTCAGCAGAGCTTCACCAAGGAACACCCCTTTGAGTTGGAGTGAAGGACGTTCTTCCTTGCAGGTTGACAGCAGATTCTGCCAGTGCCCTCCTCCTACACGATCTGGCTCAGGGGCTAACTCACACCAATGGCTCACAGCAGACCTCTGGTTTCCACCAAAAGCTTGCACCTCCCATTTACCCTGGCTCATCCCCACAGACCGTGATGCTTCCATTTCCTTTTTCAGAGGTTAAATTCTGATTTCACTTTCCTGTTTTAGGGAAAGGCTCCATGTACTGGGGAATCCCTTTTAGAAGTGGTAACCCTCACCCAGGAGCAGACTGGGTCAGTACCTAGATATGTAACTCATAGGAAAACTAACACTCCGCATTGCAAGAGGCCAAACATGTGAGTTAGCTGAAAGCTAATCTTTGCTTCTAGCACTCTCAAGAAGGAAGAAATTCTAAAATAAATCCATCTGCGACCAACAAACACCTCTTATAGCCTCAAAGTGGAAAGAGATGGGGGAATTTTGATGATGTTCAGCCCACAGTGTCCCCTGAGATTACCTTCTCTTAGGTGTTCAATTCCATAATCCATGTTCTCCCTCTCTCCTCTCCTGAGCAGATGTGCTGACACCACTCCTCCCCGACCAAATGTGTTGAAATGGTGAGAAGCACGTTCAGTAAGGCATATTCAGGTATTGGGACCAGTGAGGCATGTGGGCAAGCATAAACTAGAGGTCAAACAGCTTCTAAGTTTCCTTTAAAATTAACTTTCCAGGACCATATGGCTAAAAGATGTACACACGCTTCCATCTAGCCACCTCAGAACCCAATCTGGACACTGCTCAGGAAAAGGGGGAGGGTGAGTCTGAGAAGTGACATCTACAAAGGCACCATTCGACCACAGAATTGAGTTTACGAACAAATACCAACAGCAGAGAAGGGGAACCATGGTTTCAGTTCCTCCTTCTCTAGAAAGAGTCCTATTTTCAAAGATGCCCACAGTCTGCATTCAATGACCATTTCAGGGCAGGAGCCTGTGCCCGCGCCCTAGTACCAGAATCAGGAAGCAGCTCCATTCAGAGGCAGCAAGTCAGGAGCAAATCACTTATCACTACACTACTCCTGCGCACTGAATACCCACTACCTGAGTTAGGTGAGTGTGTGACTCCCCAGGAATCTTTAAATTGTGGAAAGGAAACTATGAGACAATGTATGCCCAGTACTGAAATAAGTAAGGTGTCTGAAATGACAAGTGCTCTGTAAATATTAATTACTATTATTACCATATTTCCTTGACTCTAAGCCTTAAGTGTTTCAAAATTTTAGCATTTCTGTAACAGGGTTCACCTTAAAATCTCTATACATGTACTGGTTTTTCCTATCCTTCTGCCCCTTGGGCTGTCATAAAACGAACAGTGAGTCTCATAGTTGATGCTGTCTTGGAATCCAGGAAATACAGTTTTGGTGCCCCAACCAGTCAGTGGGAACATGAAGCAAGAGCCAAATACGCACCAAAGGCCTCTGGGTGCATGGGGTTAAAACATAAGGGTTCGGGCGGTGGAAGAGAGAGAAGGATGTGGCAGAGGCGGCAGGTCAGGAGAGGGCCAGAACCGAGACAGGAAAATGTCAGGTGACCATACCCACATCAAAGACAAAAATGAGAAAGGGAGTCTAGGTACCACCTGGATCAACCAGTCGAGGGAGTGGAGAAAGGTGGCGGGGAGCCAAAAAACAAAGTCCGTTCCCTTCTCTCCCCAGCACTGCCCCACAGCAGCTAGGGAGCCTGCCAGGAAGGCGACACGGGTCCCTGGGCGAGAGGAAGCGGACTGGCACCAGGCTGGACTAGGAAGCTGTAAGGTGTCAGCGGAGCCTGCGGAGGATGGAACAAAGGAGACCCCTCGCGGCGGGGGAGACAGTCACCTGGCGGAGGACGAACGCGGCGAGCAGGGCAGGTCTGGGGGCCCGGGCCGCGGAGAGGGGAGAGAAGCGCGGGAGGCGGGCCAAGAGGAAGAGGCCAAGGGAGCGGGAGCCCAAAATGGAGCTGAGAAGTGTGAAGGTGGAGGGCGTGGGTGGGCGGAGGAGGGGCTGTGCGCCCGCAGGTGGAGGGGTCGGGGAGGCGGGGCACGGGGGAGCCGGCCGACCCCGCTTCTCACCTTTGACGTCTTCGGCCAGCGCCTTCCACGTCGGGGCGAAGGCGATGCAGTGGCCGCACCAGGAGGCGAAGAACTCCACGGCCCAGGCGCTGCGGGAGCCCAGCACCGCGCCGCGCACCGTGTCCGCCTGCAGCAGCGTCAGCGGGTCGGAGGGCGAGTACAGCGCCGAGCGCGGAGCCGCGACAGCGCCTGGCACCGCGAGCGGCAGCAGCAGCAGCAGCAGCAGCAGCGTCGGCGGCGGCCTGGAGTCGCGGCCGCACCTCTCCATCCTCAGCGCTGCGCTCACCACCTCACGCAAGTGTCGGATGAGTAGGGTCCTGGCGCCGCGGCACCGCCCGCCTCCGGCCGCGAGGAGGAGCCACGTGGCCCCGCCCCGAGGCCCCGCCCCCGAGGCAGGCCCCCGCCGGCCCCGCCCCGCCCCGCCGGCGGCGCCTGGGCCCGGGAGCGGGCGGGGTGAGCTCGTCGCTGGGGCTGGCGCAGGCTGGTGAGCCGTCCTTTCGCTGTGCGCCGTGGCCTCAGAGCTGCGCCATCCGGGTTTCCGCCCTAGGCCCAAGGAGGCGAAGAGTACAGTCTGGTCCCTGGAGCTCCATCTCCAAGAAAAAGAGTGGGGCGCTCGCTGAGCAGTCGCTGCGGGGGCCTCGCGGAGGTTGTTTGGCCCCTCGCGGTCCCCGTATCCAACGGAAGAGGAGTCCGTTGGAATAGGCGACCTGGATTTCTGCTGTTCCAGGGAAGTTCCTGGGTTCCCGTAAAGCGATGAGACGTTGTGAATTCGAAGTAGGTGGGAGAGAAGAGGGACGCGTGGTCTGCAACCAAGACGCCACGGGATCAGAGGCACCCACCCCTGCTGAGGCCCGTGACCATCTAAAGGAAACGTCATTTGAGAGGCCCTACTCATGGATGAGAAGCCCTCTCTCCACTGTGGGCTGTGCCGGGTTGGCGGGGCATTGCCGTGGAATCAGGGTTTCCTCAGCACCCACATCTGGCCACTCTCATAAGATAGGGCGATTCCAACATTCGCGGTTCCCAGCAGCCCAGATGCCCCACATCCAACTCTTGAGCCCACTGGGAGCTCTCCATGCCCGCTCACATGTCCCTCTTGCAAGTAGCCCGATCCGCTGACCTGGTGTTCATGGGCACTAAGATGTTAATGGATTTTCCCTGGTCACCTTTGCAGCTCTACTGTTTTGAGTGGGTTATTTTAAGGGCAGAAGGTGCTCCTCAGAGGGTTGTCACAAGTGATACTTTTCCTTTGTGTCTGCCAGGTTAGCCCCCTTCACCTGTAAGAGCTTGGAGCCTAGATTTGTCATTCATTTGTTCAAGTTTACTGAGTGGTGTCATGCCAGGCACTTCTTTAGATACTAAAGATAAGGCAGGAAACGCAATATAGACTCTAGGGATGTGGAACTTAACATTCCAGTGGGGATAAAGAGATGATACATGAGTAAATGTAGATGAGGTGGAGACCGATGTTACAAGAAATGTAGACTAGGGTAAGAATAGAGCGGCAGAGGAGGTGCTGCCTTACACGATGGTCAGGGACAGGTCTGCCCTTAATATTTGCAAGAACTGAGTCAGTAGTACAAATGGAGGCCCACATATGCTGTCTCCATATTTTAAAACTACAAACCAAATAAACCATGATATAAAATTCCTGTCCTTTGATCTTGGCATCTGTACCTTCATCATAATCTGGAAGGCCACATTTACATTTAGGATTCTTGGACCCTTCTGAGATATGCCCTTGAATGCAGTGCTTTGGAGGGGGAACTGGTCCTTGGCCCTCAGCCTGCCTTCTCTTGGCACCTTAGCTCTGTCCCATACTTCAAATGGCCTTGTGCCCACACCTATAACAACTCTGTCTGCACATCAGAGTTTTGTCCACACCTCCTACAAATAGCTTCTCCTTGACCACCAGTTGCTCCTCAGGAGGACAGACCTTGGGAAAGGGCTGATGCAGGCTGCAGCTGGTAACCTGTTGCTATTGGAGCAGTAGGTTTTAGGGTCCCAGGTACTCACAGTGTGCTCTAAAAAGGGGAGAGGGGCAAGAGCTTTGGGTACATCCCACTGGGCCTCTTGCTCTGTGGAAAAGAACATTGATGGAAGAGGATCAGGTGCTCAGAACCCTAGATTGGGTCACCTCTTGCCGCTGTCTTAAGGCAGTTTTAAAGAGGTAACTTTGAGCCAAAGACCTAAATGAAGTATGGGAGGAAGGCTTGTAGCGATCTGGGTTAGGAGCATTCCAGAAAGAGGTCCAGAGGTTGGAGCTTTTACTCCCTTCGTGTGTTCATAATCTCTCTGCCCCATGTCTTAAACTGCATAAAGAAATTATGTGTTAACCATTTGGGGTGTCAGTACCTTGCTAAGTCTCCTCCGCCACGACACAGCCAATTCCAGTTGCTGGGTACACCCGGGGGCTCACTCCCTGTACAGCTTCTGCTCTCCAACTCTTCTCACTACTAACCGCTTCTGGGACCAGAATGGATGGTCCTCTAGCAACCTTGGCTTCCATGGGTTGGAAGTACTCCAGCGGCTAGCTCAGGTTCCAATAAAATTTGATACCTTCAAATGTCTCTGTTGTTAAACAGTGTTGTAGTTCTCATCCCCGTGGGCCTAGAAACTAAGGAGACAATGTCTACTGAACATACTGAATGAGAAAGTCACCCCAGATAAATACACAAAGATTTGCTTGTTTGCATATCTGTTTCAGAGCATCAGAAATGGAAAAGAATACAAACTATTTGAATGGAGTAGGGAAAAGTTTCTTGCCAGTGGGGCCAAAGAGGTTTAGGACTGAGTTTTAAAGTCTGGTGTTTCTGTATCTCATCTGAAGAGGAATTTTCAACTTTAAAGTCTTGGAAGCCTTTGTTTAAACAGAACCTTGAAAGGAAACTTAAACAGATAAGAGCAAGAACAAAATTATAACCTAGAGTAAAACTCACTTTCTGTGGTCAATGGGGACCCTAGGCCTCTATTTGACAATCACTGGTTTAGAATCAAGAACAGAAATCACAACTTGCCCTTCCTGGAACTTCAGGGATGAAAAGGTTACAGAAAAGGAAATTTACTCAGGAATGGGTGTTGAGAGAGGAAGGGGTGCTGAGAAAAGCCCTGGAGGCTGGAGGGGGCACTTAGAAATTCCTACCCAAGTTCCCTGTTCCCCCCTTCGACATATAAGTTGTAGGAAAGGGGCCGAGACAAATCAGATGAGCAAATAATCGTAGTAGGAGCTAGCACTTTGCACCTGCTGCTCTAAACATTTGCAGACTGTACTCATTTAGTCCCCACGCCGACCCTCAATATGAGGTTGATATTATAGCAACTCTCAACCTCAATATGAGGTTGATAAACCGTTTTTATAGATGGGACTGAAGTGGAAGGGGTTCTGTTGACTTTCCCACTTGTGAATCATTCATGTGTTATGCATGAAAAAAAAAAAGACGGAATTTGGAAGTCTGCCACCCAAAAATGAAAGAGATTGTGAGAGGAATGCAGTTTATACACAAATACACATAGGGAGCAACAGAAGAGTGTTTGATGACTTTCCCCTCACTCATTCATACCAGGGATCACAGAAGGTGTATGCAGCTGGAGGCAGGTGCCCAGCAACAGAAAAAAGACCCTTGCTTTGTCCCTTCAAAATTCTAGGTCTTCCAGATGAACCTTTCCATAGCTGGGAGCAGTTAGAACCCTAATTCTGAAAGTTGGAAGAGAAACAGTCTGTATCAGGTATGGCAGGAAAGAGAAGGTACATTTCAAGGATCTACTTAAAATGGTTTACTGGAAGGACTATTCACAAGGGTGTGTGCAGGGCAAAGGGAACTAATCTAGGGATTGGCAACAGCAAAAAACCTTTTTAGCACAACTGGACCAATGCAGAGAAAGGGAGAGAGCTTTATGGTGAAAACCAGTGACAGCAGGAAGTGAGGGAGGGGGGCTGTCCAACCATTGTCGCGACCACGTGATCCCAGCACTGCTGGACACACAGGAAGGCACAGGGAGAGTGTGACTTCCACTTGTTTCTCCTCCAGTCCTCCAGTTTCTTACCATTGCCTCCCATTGGCCAAACCCAATCAAAGCCAGAGGGTGAACATGCCCCAATAATATAGTCCATAGAAATTGGCTTCCAAGACAAAAGGCAGGACAGAGGAGGGTGAAGAATGGAGAATAATGTACCTAGCTCAGGGTCCCCAAATTTTGGCCCTTCAAGGCCTTAGAAATAAGAATGGAAGGGCCGGGCGCAGTGGCTCATACCTGTAATCCCAGCACTTGGGAGGCTGAGGCAGGTGGATCACCTGAGGTTGGGATTTCAAGACCAGCCTGACCAACATGGAGAAACCCTATCTCTACTAAAAGTACAAAATTAACCAGGCATGGTAGTGCATGCCTGTAACCCCAGCTACTCAGGAGGCTGAGGCAGGAGAATCGCTTGAACCCAGGAGGCAGAGGTTGTGGTGAGCCGAGATCGTGCCCTTGCACTCCAGCCTGGGCAACAGAAGTGAAACTCCATCTCAAAAAAAAAAAAAATTAAAGAAAAAAGAATGGAAAACACAAAAATCCCTGAACATCCTTCTGTGAGTCTCCTGAATAGAAGTAAGGGGCTAGAAATCTGACCACTGGAGAAAGCAAACTGGAAGAAGAGGGCAACAGATTCCTTCCCAGCTGCTCATCCTGTCCTATTCACCCTTAGTCTAATTGCCCTGTTCTGTTTCTGTAGAGGAAACTAAGGCCCAGAATAGCGGAGTGTCTTGCTCAAGGCCACACAGCAAGGTCATGGTAGACCCATTTTTGCCAGGCTTTCCAATATAGCCATAGAAATATTGAGAAGTGGGCATCTGTGAAAGGGATATGTCAGGCAGTCACCCATGTTCGGGTCAACCTTCCCTGGTCCCCAGGTCACCGGATGGCAATTCAAAGGGTGTAGGCACCCACCCCCCCAACACACACACACACACAGCTAATTATTTAAGGCAGAAGATATAAGACTGTAGATTCAAGAAGACCTTCTTGTCTGTGCTCTTTGGCCTTTTGGGAATCTGCCAGTCATCAAACATGGCCTGAAGTCAGAGGCAGGAAGTCCACATTGCTGAGTTGCTGGGCTACAGGGTGCTAGCATTCTCCAGAGAAGACTTCTGGGAACCTTGCCAACATTGTGATGCTATGAGAAGATTGATTTGGGGGAACTCTGAGCTTCTGGAGTATTCTAATTTGGAATATTTCCTCATGACTTAGGTTGTATACAGCAGTTCTTCTATAATAGATAAATACCCACAATTCTAAAAAAGTACTATACAACACTATGACTGCAAAAGGACAGAATTTATCAACTTTTTAAATAAGAGCATTCTAAGAATTTCCCTGAAGAGAAGGTAATTGTAACGATATCAGTACATGTTAGAAGGTGCATTAAATGTGTGTGTGGAGGGAGAGTGGTGGAAGGAGCAGTTGAAAGAGGGCAGTCAGCTGAAGCTAGGCTGGGGACACCCTCCTTCTTCCCCAAAGCCACCAGTTTAATTCTCGTGATAGGTGCTGGGGTATGGTAGATGAACACTTGGTCTTTGGAGTCAGGATACTTGGGTTTCAGTCCTTGGCAACTGCCTTCACGTCTCTGAGCTTCAGTTCCCTCATCTGTAAAATGGGCAAGCAGCCGTTTTAAGTGTGTAGTTCCCATATATGGGTGCTGTGCTGACTGTAATGTGTTCAGCTCTGGCTCCACAGTGGTTCCCATTACCAGTCCCCAGCCCAGTCTAGACGCCTGACAGAGTTTACCAGTCCAAGGGGGGAAAGCAGTTTTCTTTTCTAGTCTTATTTATTTTTTTGAGACAGAGTGTCATTCAGTTGCCCAGGCTGGAGTGCAGTGGCGCAGTCTTGGCTCACCACAACCTCTGCCTCCTTGGTTCAAGCGATTCTCATGCCTCAGCCTCATGAGTGGCCGGGATTACAGGCGCCCACACCATGCCCAGCTAATTTTTGTATTTTTAGTAGAGACAAGGTTTCGAGATGTTGACCAGGCTGGTCTCGAACTCCTGACCTCAGGTGATCCACCCACCTCAGCCTCCCAAAGTGCTGGGATTACAGGTGTGAACCACTACACCTGGCCTGAAAAGCAGTTTTCTATTTTTCCTATTTTTAGAATATTAAATGTTTCTTTTAAAAATACAACGATGGGGGGAATGAATAGGTGGAATACAGAGACTTAGGCATTGAACTTACTTGGTATCAGCTCTTGTGTTATACTTGGGGAGGTTGTGTAGAGAAGGAAAATTTTAATTTTATGACCCTGTTTTATTAAATTTTTTTAGCCCCATGTATTACTTTTAAAAATCAACTTTATTAATGTATAATTTATATACAATAAAATTCATCCGTTTTAAGTTCACATTTCAATGTATTTTGAGAAATGTGGATACCTGTATAACCAACTGTGCAATCAAAATGTAGATCAGGCCAGGCTCAGGGGTAATCCCAGCACTTTGGGAGGCCGAGGCAGGCGGATCACCTGAGGTCAGGAGTTTGAGACCAGCCTGGCCAACATGGTGAAACCCGTCTCTACTAAAAATACACAAATTAGCCTGGCATGGTAGCGAGAGCCTGTAATCCCAGCTGCTTGGGAGGCTGAGGCAGGAGAATTGCTTGAACCTGGGAGGCAGAGGCTACAGTGAGCCAAGATCGTGCTATTGCACTCCAGCCTGGGCAACAAGAGCAAAACTCTGTCTCAAAATAAAATAAAATATATATATATGTAGAACATTTCGGTATCCCATATAGTTCCCTTGTGCATTTTGAAGTTCATTGCCACCACCCACCCCCCAACCCGCCCCAGGCAAACACAGATCTTCATTACATTTTTGCATCTAGCTGTTTCTGTCCAGCAATTTTTTTTTTTTTTAAATACAGGGTTTTGCCCTGTTGTCCAGGCTGGAGTGCAGTGGCATGATCTCAGCTCCCTGCAGCCTCCGTTTCCTGGGCTCAAGTGCTCTTCCTGCCTTAGCCTCCTGAGTAGCTGGGACTGCAGGTATGCACCACCATGCCTGGCTATTTTTGTATTTTTTTTGTAGAGACGAGGTCTTGCCATGTCGCCCAGGCTGGTCTTGAGCTCCTGTGCTTAAGTGATCCGTCCACCTCAGCCTCCCAAGGTGCTGGGATTACAGGTGTGAGCCACTGCTCCTGGCTGAGAGTAATTCTTTTTGTTGGAGTTCCTTGAAAAGTTAAACATGGAGTTTATTCATTCATCAGCTGCTGGGCATTTGGATTGTCTCCACTTTTGGGCTCTTATGAATAATGCTGCTATGAACATTCATGTACAAGGTTTTCTGCATGCGTGTTCCAGTTCTCTTGGGCATATTCCTAGGCAAGGAATTGCTGAATTAAATGATAACTCTGGGTTTAACTTTTCCAGAAATGGATACAGTAATTTTCTAGTAATTCTTTTTTATGAGATAGTGTTCCATCCCATAAATATGCCACAGTTTGTCTGTTCTCCTGTTAATGGACACCTGGGTTGTTTCCAGTTTGGGGCTATTGTAAGTAAAGCAGTTGTGAATATTCTTGTACAAGTCTTTTGGTATGTACCTTTGTTTTTATTTCTTTTGCAAACATACCTAGGAGTGGAATCTCTGGGTCATAAGTTGGGTGTATATTTAGTATTTGGCCAGGTGTGGTGGCTTATGCATGTAATCCCAGCACTTTGGGAGGCCGGAGTAGGCTGATCACCTGAGGTTAGGAGTTTGAGAACAACCTGGCCAACACGGTAAAACCCTGTCTCTACTAAAAATACAAGAAATTAGCTGGGCGTGGTGATACATGCCTGTAATTCCAGCTACTCAGGAGGCTGAGGTGGGAGGATCTCTTGAACCTGGGAGGCAGAGATTGCAGTGAGCTGAAATCACACCACTGCACTCCGGCCTGGGCAGCACAGGGACACCCTGTCAAAAAGAAGAAAAAGGAATCATCATACCTTTTCTTCAAGTGATTATGCCATGTTATATTCCTGCCAACAGTGTGGGAGAGTTCTGGATACATACCATGCTTGCCGATATTTGGTGGTGTCAGTCTTTGTGAGTGTTAATCGTTCTGGTAGGTGAGTAGTACATCTCATTTCGGTTTTAATTTGCATTTCCCTGATAACTAATCGCTAAAAATCTTTCCATGGCTATTGTAACTATTTGCATGTGTGTGTGAAGTGAAATCTTTTGCTTCTTTTAAAAAGTTGGGTTGTCTGATTACTGAGTTGTAAGAGTTCTGTATGTATATGTATATATGTACTCACATTTACATATATACATATATATATGCTGGCTGCAAATCCTTTGTCAGATGTACGTTTTGAAGACATTTTCTATCCATCAGCACCTATAGATCAATTTTGTTTGCTATACTTTAATTTTTTAATTAATTTGTTAAACCATGTCCTCCATGTGTGGTCAGACTCATAGGAAGCCAGGAATCCAGACTGGATTGTTAAAATCTTTTCCCACATCTTCAGGATGAGAATGCAGCAGTTTTAAGATAGCTCATGAGGTGGCCT